CAGCCTCTGCTGAGGTTGAGTCGAGTTAATTTTGGACTCGTGCAACAGGTATGGCCAAGAGTCGTACCCATCGCATTCATTTAGCAAACTTGTTGCTCCAACACGACGCGTCTAGGCCATCATGTTTGCCCTTTACACTCCCCTCCAACCTGTAATATTTCAGCCGTACAAGGCATCAGGTGAACCTTATGCACGATTTTTTTGCATTCTACAACAACTATTTGACGTTAAAACGTTCATTAAAGCGCATAAAATTGAACTCCTTTTTGGCTGGCAGAATTGCAATAGCCATTAGTAAGGGGGTTAAAATGCTCTAGGAAGGCGTCTACATAGGCTTTGCACACCTGAGAGAATGTTGAACGTTTACAGGCCGATTAGCTCAGGACAGCTCCGACACACAGCCTCCCAAGGATAACGAAAGGGCCGCAACCACATCCGATGTATTCGCGGACTTATTCCTGTAAGTGTTTTTTTATTTGCCGATAATTTCCCAATTCTACTATCATCTTTGAGACTCTTTTTTCGTTTGTAGGAATATCTTTCCTGATAACATTGTCGGCATCGCCCTCTATCAAGTAAATCTCAATTCTAGTTTGTTTTCAAATGTAGTATTAATTAACTGGTTACCCACTTTTGATGTAACGTGTTATGATTAGTAGTTCGTTTGTAGACATTCCTTTTTACTCGTCTGGTTAGAGTCGCTCTAAGCTGTTTTTTTTTTGTTTTATGTCTCAGCGGTACTGTTTGCACCCACTCATTTTCATTGTCGGCTGTCAATAAGCGCATTCGTTCTGTAGGCTCTGGAGTAGATGCTTATAATGCTTCTCCAATTTCTGTGTAAAGACAGTACGATGCTTCCTCTTCTCCCTTGTAAGAAGCATTCAAATTAAGGGACGAAAGCAGAACTGTATTTTACTACTCTAGACCGTCACGACGTACGTATACATTGGCAGAAATAATACGACAAATGAGTCCATGTTCAGAAGGAACGTCGGAACTGATGACGGCACTAATATGATAGGTATGATGCCTATGCATTATTTTATTGCTACTGTCAATCCTTTTCTATTTCCTATCAATTTCTCCACTTAGTATTGTTACCTAATTTTCGTACTGAAATTCATCCTGTAAAGCAATAACTAGAAGTAGTTTTGCCTTTGAAGGTGTCATCTTTGTCTGTGTGACGTTTGGACTGGCATCAAGTGCTGCAAAGGAACGCGGAATTCCTTTTCTGGAATTCTTTGCTTCACTGGCCGAAGTTGTTCTAAAGCTCATTCGAGCATTCCTTCAGTAAGTGTGGTTCTTGATGTGACCTTTCTTTTCATCCCCTTCGCTACCAGTTTCTTTTTACATAGTTAGAATGCTAGAGTTTCCAATGTTGAGTAAACACAAATATATTCATATGTTTAAGGAGTACTTTATTAAATTTATCCTCTTTAAAATATTTATTATCGGCAATAGACTTTTCTTCTGACCGTAAGCTAACTCTGCAAGGCCTTTGCCGAATTCATTGCCCTTCTCGCAGCTCACTCGCCATACTTACTATGGACAGCCAAAGTCGGTTAGGTATTGTTGTAGCACTGGAACGCACACGTGAATTGTCAAATTCATCATGACATTATAAGACTCAAGGAGCTGGTAATGTTTCAGCTCAAATGTCCTTTTCAACAGTGGTCTCATAAGCATGAAGAGGTAGCTTATAGTCTGTCGAATACATCATTTAAACAGTTGGGTGGAGTTCTCAACGCATTCTTCACAATGTCTCGCACCAAACAAAGTGCTTAGTCAAAGGCTCTGATGCTTTGGTCGACTTTAATCATCCATGCGTTAAATTTTGGAAGGGAAAATCAAAGACGGCACCCCCGTTTACCCATGCATTTTGGATTAATCAGTAGGAATCCTTTTCTAATCGCGAGAAAGTCGAACTGCTTAGCAATGAAGAGGATTTGCTGTAAAGTGAACGATAAATAAGGCTCCCCTACCTCATTGTAGCGCATTGATAGCATACAAGTATGTAGTTGTCGAATGTACATTGAGTTGTCATGTTCTTATTTGCAAAGATTGACTCCCGTTGGTGTCTGCTTCATGATCGCTGGTGCGGTACTCAAGGTGGACAACATCGGAGAGAGCTTTGCCAAATTGGGCATGTTCGTAGTTACCGTGGTGGTGGGTATCGCCGTCCTCGCGGTGATTGAAGTGCTCTTCTACTTCGCCTGCACACGCAAAAATCCCTTCACACCAATTAAACACATGGCCAGAGCCTGGTTTATCGTCTTCGCCACTACCAGCGCGTGCGTTTAATAAAAGTGTTTTTCTGTATATAAACGAAAATCATTTCTAAAAAAAGTGCCAATGTAAAAGCACGACTGACAGCCTCCATGTTCAATTTTCTGAACTGTCATATATGGAAGGTATTTACATTAAGGAAATTCTCTCACCTAGCTTGACCTCAAAGCCAATTAGGCTTGGGAAGTGTAAACGTCGAGTTTCACAATTTACTAATTGCGAAAGGCAAACACGACACCTTACGCCATAGGTTCGATTTTAGCAGAATACATTCGGGCAGTATACGGTATTCGAAAGCACACGAACGAAAGTAAAATGAGTCTGATCATATCATCTATGTACGGATCAAGTGAGCAAAGGAATATAAGTTCTGATGATTGCTGATATCTAGGATCGTGGGAGTTCCGGAGATAATAGAAGGTTGCGACGAGATGGGAGTACGAAGGGCGACCTCGCGTTTCGTCGCGCCGCTGGCGGCAACGTTAAAAGCCGATGGTTCTGCCATCTTTATTGCTGCTTCCGGCGTCTTCATCGCGCAGATGGAGGGATTCGGTGACAACGCTGGTAAAATTGTCGTCATTTGGTCAGTTTTTCCTCCTTGAACAATCACGTCTATCACATTCATGGCTTATATCATCTCATTTCATTCCTTTTCAAATCTATCTGCTTACATTGCATTCATTTACTGTACGCTTTTGTTGTGCTAAGCAGCAATTTTACCCATTGGTGAAGCTTACGTGAATGGACCGTTTTTTTGGTTTTTTGATTAAGCTTTGCTGATGTCGGTTTGAGCGCCCTCGACAGATACGGCTCCTTTGATCAATTTTTTTAGAAATCTCTTATGACCACAAAATGCGTGCTTAAATAATGTTCGCTATTTGATGTCTCATTAAAGTCAGACAATTGAGTCGACATCTCTTGGGGTCAGTAACCAACGCCTCCTTGGAAATGAGATTTGGTCACAAAAGAGAATGTGTAAATCTTTACCCGGTTGTAGCACAATAACTATTGTTTAGTGCTGTGGTCTTAGCTCATTAATCTTGGAAGATCGCGAGTGCCGACGATACCCACCAGGTATATTTTGGCACAAAAGATGGGTGTGGTTGGTAAAAGGCTTGACTCAGAACGCTACATCAGTTACTTGTTCCCACCCAAGGTGCGGCAGGCAATTAAGAGCGATGGCAAAGGGTTATTAAAAAAACTAACAGATTTCATTCACTTCAGTTAATCCTTTTATTCCCTAAACCATTATCCATTATCCAATTCACTAATACCAGAAAAGTGCTACTTGCAGTTACCCGCTTACATCAACGAAACTTTTAGGTTGACTTTTGAGTTTGTATACGATACGTTGAAGAAGCTCTTGACCCATATATCAGTTAATCAACTTTATTTTTTTATTGCTAATGGCCTTACTGCCTCATTAGCAAATGGATTCAGCCTTTTAAACATCAGTGCCACCCCAAAAGCACAGTCAATGTAGATGTTGGATACTTCAATTTAAAAGCCGAGAAACTTCACCAAACCGCCAATAATAGCGGGCAATTAAATTTTGATCGCATCGTGCTGATCCATGGAGCAAATTTGTATTTGCATCAAAATTTACATGTTGGATAATAATGACAAGTAACTTTTCAACCAAACTTTAGGCTTCTAACCTGCGCTCTGGTCATTGCTATTCCGCACATCCCCAGTTCCAGCGTTGTCATTATCTTGACTGTTCTCTCTTCTGTCGGTGTGCCGGTTGAACAGGTTTCCCTCCTCTACGCAACGGAATGGCTTTTGTGAGTTCGCCAGTCTGTAAACACCAACACAGGAACAATAATGATGGCCTCAACACTTGCCATAACCATAGTAAAATCCTCACTATGAAATAATATACGCTTGCAAATTTGAGGAGATGAGCCAATCTGAAACGAAAACGTCTGTCTCGTAAGATGTTCTTTATTAGCGCCTATTCAAATATTCACACAACTTTGTGCATCATCCTGTGGAAAGTATGGGCACTTTTGAGAACAAACTTAAGTAAGCAAACATGTAGTTGATCCAATTCATTAATCGAGCTTAAACAAGAGTCTGATTTTCTTGACATCAATACATGGTAAACATTTATTATCATCGTAGGGATCGAATTCGTTCTGGTATGTCCTGCGCATCCACATTCTACTGCGTCGTTTACACAGAGTATATGACAATTAGAAAAGGAGATACAAACTTGGACGACGATGAGTATGACGAGGCCGTATCGGAACTCTCTAAGGCAAAGAGCCTCACAAGTGCTGCCTGAAAAGTAAACTAGAGTCTCTCCACTTATTCCATCTATAAAATTGGAACCCCAACACACTGACCATCCGACACCTGTGCATCACTTCATTTAAACTATCGGTGCTCACAACCCCTATTTTGCGATTTGCTTGAAAATCCTTAAACCGTTTTTTTTACTATTTTGAAGCAGCTTACTTATTCGTGGGGCACATTGTTTACCTTCATGCAGAGAATCACGAACTAGACGGTACCAGAATAGCATGGCAATTCTATTCACGCACAAATTGCAAAGACGTATTGAGAGCATGTAGCAGTGACAATTAAACGCCCTTTCTGACAGTTGTCCAACGGTAGATATGAATGACAAAAAGGTGGGCCATGACTAACATCCAAAGACGATTTTTAGGATGGTGTACAGATGGGCCTATTCTTGGCGCTTCAAAGTATATTACACCATGAATGCATCGTTGTTAAAACTAATGAACACACTATAAAAATACGAAGAGTATGGTGACAAAATCCGGATGCTACAAACAAAAAACATCTTACCTATAAAATGCATAAATTTCATGCAACAGTCCTCGTCAGGTTTCAGCTAATAAGTGTTTACCTAGACCGCATTCGCCAATACCTATGACCACAGCTAGTGACATAAAGGGTGCCAGAGAGTGACGATCAAATGAAAAAGAAATGAAGCATAAAAGTACTTTTAAGAGCAAGGCAGAAAATCACAAATTCCAGCACTAATTATGAGCCAGAACTGGTTTAATTTCATTTGAGATGATTTACCACTCGCAGTGACTAACAAATTTATAAAACATCGGAACTAAACATTAATTTGTGTAGCTTTATATACAACACAACTCAGAGAGCAAGCAAAGATGCTATTTATTTTGCATAGGTAATTACTCGAAAAGGAAACAATCTTTATAAAAATTTCGTTCTAATGAACCATCTTCTGTCGCGACCTACATTGCACCGAAAGGTTTGAGGTGCGTGTTTTATGACGCACATCTTTAGTTAACGATGATGGGAACGTTAAGATCGAGGTTATTTATGAAGTACGAAGAATATTCAATGGTATGAGTAGTGATCGATTTCATTTTCCTAGGATTTTGAAGGGCAGAAGCTAGCCGAACGAATAATGAATGCGATTCTACCGTTTTGTTGCGCACGTAGTGGATTCCGCTAATTTTGTTTGCATTTAGATTGTTGGCTTTATCCTTGGATATTTTTTGGAGCAGCTATCTATTAGTGTTGGAGTGGTTCTAGCGGGTCTTATGATTTGCATAGTGGCAAGTCATTTGGTTAAACTATTGTTTCCTTTAGGTAGTACTTCCGCCCTGGCCCATTTATAGGAGACATCCACTAAACTGGCAGAAAATTGGCAAAGCTCACAGAGAATGATGTTCTCCATAACATAGGCAATTGTTCTTATGGTATGGAAGCTTAACCCTCATAAACGAACGGCAATTATGGTCAGTTGTGCCACGTATGTAAGCCTAACTACATTGGTTTCATATCGAATCTTATCGCCTATTTATTCATGGGATGAGCTGCAGTAGGTGTCTCTTGTTAATGTCCTTGGTTTTGAATAGGCACAGGAGCTTTTTAACTTAGTTGTGTGTGGGCGGAATCTTTCTTGTTTCACCACGGATATTCTCCGTTGTCATTGCCAATAGTTTTATAACGAGTCGCTAACGCAAGCTGCGACAAATACGATTAAAACTGATGTATCGATAAAGTAAAGACGGGTAGTGGATTTGGATTTGTAATAAGCGTGGTCGTTGTGACAAAAGAAGGCACTATTAGGTAGGCTCGATATCCTAACCGCCTTGAAGGGGTGAATATTTTGCGGACGCATCAGGTAACTTATGCAGCACAAAATTTTACTGATTTTATAACGCCTAATGGCTTGGGACGTAACCTCAGCAACGACGTGTTGACATGGGTAAAGCGATTAACTTGAGTTACTTTGTCTCCAACTGGGTGGTATGGCTTCCGAACTAAGCATGACTAGATGAATCGATGCCAATATTTAGCAAAAACTGGTCAGGGTCATGTGAGACGGTGAAGAATCCCACGTATTCGGGATCTGGGTCTGCCGTCGCATAGTGGCGGCTGCCACGGACGACTGAGTCAGGGAATGCTCA